GCCCTATCACAAAAGCCCGCCCCCCACAAAAAAAAAAGCAGTTGTGGCTTCAGACTGTGAATTTTAAATCGTAACTAGGCTCAAACACATCTTTATTAATCAAAATAAGAACTATTTTTTTAAATTATTTTATTTAACTTTATTTATTTATTTATTTATTTTAATTTGACCAGAGAGGGAGAAAGTGAGAAAGCAAGCCACCAGGTCCGGGACTCGAACCATGGTCCGCCGTGTGCGAGTCCAGCACCTTTAACCACCATGCCACTTGCCAGCCCCCAAAATAAGAACTATTACAATCAACACATTTTACCTACGAGAAATAAGTTTGTTTATTCCTTTAGCATAAAAATCCATGCTTCAGGATTTGAAAAACTCTCGGAAAGTATTTTCTGTACCCTACTGGCTGTGGAAGCATTTTCCCTGCAAAAAATGGTTGAGATGTTTGAAGAAGTGGTAGTCAGTTGGTGAGATGTTGGGTGAGTATGGTGGATGGGGCAAAACTTCATAGCCCAATTTATTCAACTTTTGAAGTGTTAGTTGTATGAAGTGTGGATGGGGGTTGTTGTGGAGAATAATTGGACCCTTGCTGTTGACCAGCGCCACTGTAAGGATTGCAGTTTTCAGTGCTTCTCATCGATCAGCTGAGCATACTGCTCAGATAAAATGATTTTGCTGGAATTCAGAAAGCTATAGTGGATCAGACCTCATCGAACAGTGAGTGTGATCATTTTTTGGTCAAGTTGGGCTTTGGGAAGTGCTTTGGAGCTGCTTCTCGGTCTAACCACCAAGCTGGTCATCACCAGTTGTCATATAAAGTCCACTTTTTGTCTCATGTCAATCCGATCGAGAAATGGTTTGCCGTTGTTGCACAGAATAAGAGAACACTTCAAAACGACAATTTAAAATCTTTTCGGTCAGCTCATGAGGCACCCACTTATCTAGCTCGTTCCCCTTTCTTGTTTGCTTCAAACGCCAAGGAACCATAGAATAGTCCAACACTGAGTTCTTTGGCAATTTATTGTGTCGAGGTGAGAGGATCAGCTTCAGTGACTCCTCTCAATTGTTTGTTGTCAACTTCCCATGGCTGGCCACTACACTCCTCATCTTGAAGGCTCTTGTCTTCTTTGCAAAACTTCTTGAACCATCACTGTCCTGTACATTTACTAGCAGTTCCTGGGTCAAATGTACTTTGATGTTGTGAGTTGTCTCCACTGCTTACAACCTATTTATCAACTCAAGAAAATTGCCTAGATTTTCTTTTTGTCTAATATCATTTCCATAGTCTAAAATATATATAAAATAAACAGCAAGTAATAAGTATCATTAGCAGAAAAACATAGTGAGAAATTTGCTTTAAAATGATGTATAACATAACCACATTTACTTAAGAATGTATCCAATATTAAATGACAAATTTCAATTACGGAAAACCACAATTACTTTTGCACCAAGCTAATAAAAACTTAAAAGACTATTGTTGAAAACTTTAAAAAGCAGGGACTCCTTGAGGCTTGTAACAACCCCTGTAACACACCAATCCTAGGAGTGAAAAAGCCTAATGGGGAATGGAGATTAGTACAGGATGCCCGTCTCATAAATGGAGCCATTGTTCCATTATACCCAATAGTTCCCAATCCCTATACCCTATTACTCAAATACCAGAAGGAATTAAATGGTTCTCAGTTTGAGGTTCTAAAAATGCATTCTTTTGTATTCTATTGCACCCGGACTCTCAATATCTTTTTGTCTTTGAGGACCCCTCGAACTCATGCCTCCAATGATGCTGGCAGATCTTCCTCCAAGGTTTCTGTGATTTCCTCTACTTATT